AATCCCCCAACATACTGAGAAGCTTCTGACCTTCAATTTACATCCCATACCCCAGGAAGGGGAGGGGCTTGGGGAGCCCTACTTTGTTATGTACCATCAATAAAGCATACTGTACCCTCCCCCAAAGTATAAAAAAAAATAAAATGCAGATTTCATTATGTACTTTAAAAAAATCTAATGTTCAGTGGGATCCTTATATTTGTTATAGCTTTTGTATTATTCTTCCTACAGGGCGATAGACGAGTTTCAGGCCACTCACAGCTAAGCAAACTGCAAATGGCACTTGAGAGATGGAGGCTGTCTTCAGTTCCAGTGAAAGAGAAGTCAAATTAGATCTAGCCATCACTGTATTTTCTCCTTCAGGGTTGTTTCTAACATCCTGGAGACCTCTTAATCAGATGGATGGGCCCTGCATGTCTGGTGGGCTTCGATGGGGGTGAATGATCATCATCACTCATGGGCCACCCCCAGTGGTTCTATCCGGAGGCCCTGGGGGCTAAGCTTGGTACTACTGAAGGGTTCCCCAAGTTGATCCCCATGACAGCCAGGTTTCTGCACCTCTTAGTGCAATGAAATCAGGTCATATTCAGCTCAAAACTGTTGCTTTCCACACTTCGACTGTTATTGTGTAATTTATTTATTCATTTATTTATAATATTTTTAAAGATTTATTTATTATTTATGATAGAGAGAGAGGCAGAGACACAGGAGGAAGGAGAAGCAGGCTCCATGCTGGGAGCCTGATGTGGGACTTGATCCCGGGACTCCAGGATTGCGCCCCGGGGCAAGGGCAGGCACCAAACCGCTGAGCCACCCAGGGATCCCCCTGTTATTGTGTATTTTAAATGCACATCTAAAATGATAATGGAGGGATGCCTGGGTGGCTCAGCAGCTTGGTGCCTGAGTTTGGCCCGAGGCGTAATCCTGGGGTCCCGGGATCGAGTCCCACATCGGGCTCCCTTCGTGAAGCCTGCTTCTTTTTCCTTCTGCCTCTCTCTCTTTCTGTGTCTCTCATGAATAAATAAATAAAATCTTAAAAAAAAAAATAAAACCATAATGGAAAATCTACTTATAAAAAAAAGTCATGGGATGCCTGGCTGGCTCAGTGGGTGGAGTATGTGACTCTTGATCTCGGGGTTGTGAGTTCAAGTCCCATGTTGGGTGTAGAGATTACTTAGAAATAATGTGTTAAAAAACAAAAGTCATAATGTTATTATTATTTTTTTTAACCAGCTTGCAGACCACAGTAGGAAGTCTGCTAATCTTATGGTTCAAACTGGTGCTTCTCAAGCTTTGTTAAATGCAGATTGTTAAAATGAGGATGGGTTCAGGAGGTCTGAGGTAGGGCTTGAAATTCTGTCCGTCTGACGAGCTCCCAGGGGATGCTGAGCAGCGTGAGTCTGTAGTTGTTTCCAGGGTGGACCAGGGAACCTAGGTAGTAGGTCACATCTCTCTGTATTGACTTTGTCCTTGGGCTTGTTTTCTATGGTTCCACAGAAATGGAGAATCAATGACTTGACACACACGGAATGACGGTCGTGTTTATGCTCCATGTTAACATTTTCAACCTCTGTGTTCCCTGGGCTTCCTGTTTTTGGCCAATTGTCCATTCTGGGTATAAATTGACCATAAAGGACTAAGATTAAAGACCATTTAAACTGTGCAACGGCCCAGGCTGCTGAGGCTGGGTGGTGGCTGGCGGAAGTGGCTGGGGAGTGAGTGAGTCATAGACGGGCATCTGAGGCTACGGAGTCCACTTGCTGCGTGTGTGCCTTCTGCCCAACACATACTCGGTTTTGGAGCTGTTTAGAAATATCTTTAAATAGTTATTAATTTGCCAAGTTGATATTGGAATAAGCACATTGCTGCTTGCAATGCTGTGCCTGGAAAAACTTTGTTAATCCTGGGTCTTTGTAAGCCTGGGGAGGAAACCACAGACTGGTGATTCTTAGCAGGTTTGGGTAGTGGGCTCTTTTAAGAATCTGATAAAAGCTGTGGACAGTCTTGCACGAAAATGCTCACGTGCACTTTATGCACAAAATCCCAGGGGTTGGTTTCTCAGATGCTGGTAACCAAGTTCTGATCCTTGGCCCCCCTCTTTTCAAACCATCGTATCATTTTTAAAGATTTTATTTATTAATGAGAGACACAGAGAAACAGGCAGAGACACAGGCAAAAAGAGAAGCAGGCTTCCTGCAGGGAGCCAGATGTAGGACTTAATCCCAGGACCCCAGAATCACAACCTGAGCCAAATGCACATGCTCAACCACGGAGCCACCCAGGCATCCCTCAAACCATCTTAAATATAATACTTCTGATTGCTTTCCCTGAAGCTCAGCTCTGGTAATGCTCTCCTCCTGCTGTTTCCTCAACAGCTCCCCATAAGCCACAGCAGTGTTTCCCTAGTGTGATTTGTGGCCCTCCCGTAAGAATTGGTTGATGCCAGTTGAAAAGGCAGGTTCTTGAGCCCCAAATCAGAACCTCTGGATCGTCTCTGGTTTTAGAGGCCAGACCATTTCCTGGAGCCTCATGGACCAGGCATTCTATCTCAGAGGCTTTGTTGTACTTCTTATCAAGTGAATAAAATGCACCCACAGGCCAAACAGACATTTTCTGTAGTATTTTGGAAAGATATATACATTTTACAAATCTGAGTTTTGTTAAAAATAATACTGGTCTTGGGGCGCCCAGGTGGCTCAGTTCATTAAGCATCTGACTCTTGATCTCAGCTCAGGACACTTGAGCTCAGGGTTTTGAGTTCAAGTCTCCCATTGGGCTCCATGCTGGGCACGGAGCCTACTAAAGAAATATTATTCTAGGGGCAGCCTGGGTGGCTCAGTGGTTTAGCGCCACTTTCAGCCCAGGGTCTGATCCTGGAGACCCAGGATTGACTCCCGCGTCAGGCTCCCTGCATGGAGCCTGCTTCTCCCTTTGCCTGTGTCCCTGCCTCTCTCATGAATAAATAAAATCTTTAAAAAAAAAAAAAATTCTTAGGACACCTGAGTGGCTCAGTGGTTGAGCGTCTGATGTCTTACCCCATCAGCTCAGGGCATGATCTTGGGGTCTGGGGATCAAGTCCCACATTGGGCTTCTCACAGGGAGCCTGCTTCTTCCTCTATGTCTTTGCCTGTTCTCTCATGAACAAATCTTTAAAAAAATTTTCTCTAGAAATTTTTATTGCACTCATATATAGTTATATAAAAATTATACTGCAGTGATAGCCAGTGTTAAACACTCATTTTGAGTTTTGTGGTCAAACTTCAGAGGTGGTCAGTTTCTTACATTACCTAAACATTTTTGTAGGCCCTTGAGAAGCACGTGGGATTGTCCAGCTACCACCCAGTGGAGCTATCTCTTGGGTGGGGCCCAGCATCTGAATTTGTGTTTATTTTTCAGAATCTGAATTTTTAATGAACTTCCCAAGAACAGTGCAGTTTATGAATATGAATTAGGATTTAAGATAGTCCAAGTGAAGAAATGGCCTAACTCCTCACTATCTGCTAATTCTGATAGAATGGGTACGTCCTGAAAAGCTAGACTAGTCAGGAAGTTCTTGATTTCAAAGTCTTGTGACCAATAAACTGTGTTTTGACACTCATGCCACACAGGCGAAGCACCCAGGCTGGTAAACAAGGAAGTGGGTCAATTCCCTGACTAGTTGGTAAAATGTTCCCAAATATACCAACTTTCTTTGTCCTGTTCCTAGGTAAACTTTGAGTAGGCTTTAAAGCAGTTTTGGGGGATTCCCGTGCAGTTTTAGCTGACCAGTATTCATCTTGCTAACAATTTTTTTTTTTGGAGATTTTATTTCAGAGATACAGCATGATCCACATGCTAGGGAAATTTTGATTAATGGCGCCAGGAACAGACTTCCACATATTGTCTTTTGTCAAGGGATGGCCTCGACATTTAAGCTTCTTAGAACACTTTTATCACTAAAGTTCGTTATACTATTATCTATATACCTATTTCCTGGAAAAGGCCCTTTTGTATGCTTCCGGGGATCTGAGGATTAGATCAAGTCCCACATCACGTCTGTCCCTTTATTAGAGCCTTAAGGCAAGATCCTGTCACTGAGGGGACTTGAGGGTTTCCAACCAAACTGCTCTTATCAGCTCACAAAGGAGAGTTCCTCCATAGCCAGGGAGCAAGGACAGCCCTGTGACTACTCAAGGGTCCACCATGCCTGCAGAACAGCTGACCTGTGGGGAACTTGGGATAAACTCAAAGTTTTATTGGCCAAGGCTCAGGCCCCAGTTAAGCTATGGGTATATACTATCCACTGCCCATTTCTGTGGTTCCTTCATACATGCAAGACTGATTATACATAAAATACAATCTGCAAGTCAGGTGTTTCTGAAAACAAGTTTTATTTAAATAAGGGTTTAAATACATTACATAACATTAAAACTGAAGGAAAAAATAAACCAAAAACCAGTCTGTTACTTCACATGGCATTGGGCAGCTGTTGCTAGTAAGTTGCAAGCTCTACAGCTAGCTACATGACGGATACATCAGTTTTAAGTTTGTTCCCTTGTCAAAAGTTTAACTCAGATAGAAGGTTGGCCTCACATTCTCGTGTTTGGACATCAATTAGCTAGGATATGTCTGGTCAAAAAGACCTTGGTGGCAAGTCAGATGTCCTATCACACCTCACTATAGGGAAGGTGGCCACTCTAAGCTCTGCCCACCTGGTCCGTTGGAGACACCAGGGATCTTTGACTACCAATGACTCCCTGTAGCAGCACAGCTGCTGGTGCTGTCTTACCCCATCCTGGCCTCTCAGCTTCACCGTGGGCTGTTCAGGAGGTGACATTCTCTTAGGGTGGGGAACTCTGAAGAGGGAGAGCCGAGGAGCTTCTGGCCAGACATAGTCGTCTGTGATCTTGGGGCTCTGGGCTGGACCGAAACATCACGTGACTGCTTGGTTTCAGGCCGGACACTGCCAGGCGCCTATTGCTTGACCTCTGTTTAAATGAGGGACTTCAAGACTAGACAGCATGGCTCTTTTCAGTTTATTGCATGAAGGAGTTACACTAGTCCAAGTTAAAAGCAGACCCCAAATGGTTACATTATACAAGCTGTGAGGTTTTTAAACTTGTGACAAGGGACAGAAAGGAAATTCTACTCATTGCAAGGAAATCCTCACTTAAGCTTCAGTGAGCCAAAAGCACTTAAAACCCATGAACCTTCAGCTGGTCGTCCTTAGCCAGTCCAATCTGCAAAGAGCAAAGAACAAAATTATAATAGGGATGTAAAGAGAGTTCAAGTCCCCATGTCTCATGGCAGCAACTTCGTTGGCTTGCTTCTATACCGAGCAAGGCAAGTCCAACAGCCAAGACACATTTCAACCACTATGAGCACAGTGGTTCTTTTAACTCAGGCTATGCACTTAGGGATCAATGACAGAATAGGATTTTAGCACTTGGGAGAGCCAGCCACATGCCCTGTTTTACTATCTGTGTGCAATTTTAAATTGCATCTTTAAAGCAGATCCATGCACAGGGCACTGGCTGGCTTAGTTGGTAGAGCATGCAAATCTTCATCTTGGGGTTGCTGAGTTTGAACCCCACACCTTGCAATTAAGTAGAGATCACTTAAAAAAAAAAAGTCTTAGGAAAAAAGATCCATGTAAAGTTTAAGGCAATTTGTTTTGCTTAGCCTTACAAAACAAGCCTCCGTGTCTCCAGAAGAGCTTGAAAGGACTAGGCAGGATCTGACAGTAGCCGGGCCAGACACACAAATAGAGATTATTACAAGTGACTCAACTCACCTCTACCAGGAACTGGCATATGTTCTTGCGCTGGTCACCCTGTAGCTGAATTACTTCTCCATATTCTGGATGCTCAATTACAGTACCATTGCAGGCAAATTTCTGCAAGCACCAACGAAGCAAACAAATTAGGCCAAGCAACAGCCCCAGTGCACTAATAATCCCAAATGAGAAGCATTAGAAGTTAGCACCCCCGATTCCAGCAGGTTAAATGTAATTTTTTCCTACAATCTCATTTAATGCCTACCTTCTTAAACGCCTTCACTAGTTTCTTTTTATCGTAATCATCAGCGATCCCTTGGACAGTAGTAAGGGTCTTCCTGCCGTTTCTCTGTTGAATTCTTATATGGATATAATCCTCAGTGCCAGCAGGAAGCAGATCATCACCCTTACTTGCATCAGCAAAGGGGTCTGGGAAGAAAGATCAAGCTCGGTTACGGGTACTGGGGCTCTGGCGCCACTGCCCGCCCCCCCCCCCCCCATGGATCTTTCAGCGCGCGTGGAAACAAATACTGAAACCGTCAGGGCTTAGATCAACGTCAGATCTGTCCTTGCTGGCTGTCCACGAACGGGTCAGTCCGGGACGGCAAGCTTCCCCAGCGCCCGGGCCTCCTGCCCCAGGTCCGCCCTCGGATGGCAATCACGTGCTGGGGGAGCCCGGGCTGGCAGGCAGCGCCCCACCCGGCTGATGCAACAGGCCGGAACCCGAGCTCCAAGGCGGGGCCAAGCTTCCCACCCCATTGGCAAGAGCGTTTGTCACTTAGGGCTGGCGCCGCCTCTCACTCCCGGCTCCGCGACAACGGCCGTGACGTAACGGACGTGACGCACGGCTGGCGGGAGGGGGCGGGTGTGGCCCAAGGCAGCCCGGGAGCCATTAGTAAATGCGCCACCCGAGACGCCAGGCCCGCCCAAGGGCTGCCTCCCTGGCCCGCTCCTTCCGGTCGCGCTTTGAGGGCCGATCCCGGGGCCCGGGGGAAGCCCCGCTTCGTGCGAGCCCGGGTACCTCCCCCCTCCACCTAAGTTCACGGAAGCCGGGGACACCTGGCAGGTTCCCGGGCCCCGACTCCGGGTCCAGGGCACTTGGCCGCCCCACCCAGGCCTTTCTCCCCGCGGGACCCTTCCGCAGCTCACCGAAAGAGTGGAGGTTCTGGATAGCGGACATACGATACGATTCCTTTTCCTCGGTGGAAACGGCCTGCGGAAGGCGGCGGCGGGAGAAGGCGGGCGGGGGGGACGGAGCGTCGGGAAGCGAGGGGGCTCGAGGGGGAGGCTGCTGAGTCCTCGGCGGCGGCTCAGTGACTGGGGCGGAGGGGCGGTGCCTGTATTCACTTATATAGCCGCCCCTGTGACGCCAGCGCGCTGCCCTCACGGCCCGGCCCCACCCCCGACGTCGTGGCCCACGCGCCCCGGCGCCGCCGTTTCCGATTGGTCCGGGGGCGGGGACGCGGGGCGGCGCTTGCGCAGGAGCTCTGGGCTGCGGGAGGACGTCCTCTCGATTCTGGGAGAGGTGGAAGGGGGAGGGAAGGGCTGGTCGGCCTAGGCGCCTGCGCAGTGCGGGAGGAGGGTGTTAGGGGGAGGAGGGTGTTAGGGTCGCGCAGGGAGCCGGCGGGGGTTCTCTGGCACGTTTCACCTCCGTGACCCTGTGGCAGCCCCACCTGCTTGGAAGAGAGCGTTTTCATGGAATAGATTGGCACTTCAATGGGATTTAGATGCTGAACCTCCTAAACGTGACAAATTCCCACTATCTCATACCCAGTTACCTGCTCCTCTTTATGGATTTAGGGCAGCGCTTTTATTTAATCAACACAATAATATGATCTAAACCGTAACATCATTATTTAATTTACTATTAGATGAATCTAATCTTTTTTTTTTTTAAGACTTTATTTATTCACGAGAGGCAGAGAGGCAGAGACATAGGCAGGGGGAGAAGCAGGCTCCTCGCAGGGAGCCCAAGGCGGGACTGGATCTCGGGACCCCAGGACCACGCCCTGAGCCGAAGGCAGCCGCTCAACGGCTGAGCCGCCCAGGCATCCCTGGATAAATCTAATCTAAAAATAGATTCATCTACTTTAAATATATCATTTATATAATCTGAGAAATGCCCAGCTCCTTAGCATGGATTCAAGGGACAGCCAGGCTGCTTCTGGGGTCCAAGAAGAATTCAGGCACCTGAACAGTGTCTATGTGTCCTCCAAATTGTGTGGGGTAGAGCCTTCCCACAGTCAACCTTACTTGCTCTTTCAGTATGTAAATTGAAATGTTCTCAGTTGTGGGGGTGAATTGAGTGGATTTAGACTCCAAAGGCCTCCAGGGACCAGGCGGGTAAGATAAAGGAGTGAAGACAGCCAACTGTGATGCAACGGGGTGTGGAGGGGGCCAGGGTGAGAACTAGAGGAGGTGGCAGCCACTCACCTCCAGCCCATCGTGCTAGATCTTTTTTCCAGACAACTTGGGGACATTCGGATTTTTATGTAAAAGCTCTTGATTTTTGAATATTGCCAGTAAATTGAAATTTTGGAAAACACCATGGAAGGCAAACAAAAAAAGTGTGGATTGGCCCCATGGACTGCCTGATTATGTCCCCTGGCAGTCAGGGTCACTGGCCTCCTGGAATCTAGCGGGAGAGACAGATAATAAACAAATCTGGCAGATTGTGATAGGGGCCAAGAAGAATAAACAGGGCAATGTGAGACCCAGCTGCCCGAGAATGGGGAAGCGCCCATGGTGGGGCAGAGTTGAGAGCCTGCCAGACGAGGAACTCTAATGGAAGGAAAAGCTAGGTGTACTAGATAGTTTGTTTTGATTGCATCTTTGATAGCTAAACTTTTGATTAACAATTTGGTTTCCGGGCTGCCTGGGTGGCTCAGCAGATGAGCGGCTACCTTTGCCTTAGGGTGTGATCCTGGATTCCCGGGATGGGGATCAAGTTCCTCATCCGGTTCCCTGCTTGGAGCCTGCTTCTCTTCCCTCTGCCTGTGTCTCTGCCTCTCGTTCTGTGTCTCTCATGAATAAATCTTTACAAAACAAAAACAATTTGGTTTCCTTGATACCAGGAAGGAGGGACCCATAACTAGAAGTCATGGGCATCTCAATCCAACATCTATCCCAACCTGTCCTCCACCTGGGAACCTCTACCCTCATAGAGGTGGCTGTGCTTGAGAACGGTTTGAGGAGAGAGAGTGTGAGTGCGTCAGAGCTAGCCTTTCCAGTATGCACACATATTTTGTTACACAAAGTTTTAAATTAGCGATGTGGTCTAGCTTATCAATCTTTCCTTTTAGGAAAAGATTCTTTCTGCACAATTTTAAAGAAATCTTTGCTTTGAGTTTATAAAGATACTCTTATTGTTGTTATTGTTTGTTTCAATAGCTTTATTTTTGGGATGCCTGGGTGGCTCAGTGGTTGAGCATCTGCCTTTGGCTCAGGGCGTGATCCTGGAGTCCCAGGATCAAGTCCCACATTGGGCTCGAGCAAGGAGTCTGCTTCTCCCTCTGCCTATGTCTCTGCCTTTTCTCTGTGTCTCTCATGAGTAAATAAATAAAATCTTTTAAAAAAAGCTTTATTTTTATTAGTTGTTATGATTTTTAAAGATTTTATTTATTTATTTGACAGAGAGCACAAGAAGGCAGAGTGGCAGGCAGAGGGAAAGGGAGAAGTAGTCTCCCCGCTGAGCAGAGAGCCCAAGGTAGGGCTGGATCCCAGGACCCCAGGATCATGACCTGAGCTGAAGGCAGCTGCTTAACTGACTGATCCACCTAAGCACCCCATTATTATTATTTTAAAAATATTTTATTTTTTTATTTGAGACAGAGTCAGCATATGCAGAGAGAGGCAGAGGGGGATGGAGAAAGAATCTGAAGCAGATTCCACACTGAGCGTGGAGTTTGATGCAGGGTTCGATCCCATGACCCTGAGATCTTGACCTGAGCAAAAACCAAGAGGCGGTGGCTTAACTGACTGAGCTACCCAGGCACCCCTATTTTATTATTTAGAGAGAGAGAGAGAGAGAGAGAGAAAGAGAGAGAGAACAAGTGGGGGAGGGTACAGAGGGAGAGAGAATCTTCAACAGGCTCTATCCCCAGTGTGGGACTTGATCTCAAGACTCTGAGATCATGACCTGAACCAAAATCAGGAGTCAAACATTTAACCAGTTGAGCCACCAAGGCAAACACACTGTTGTTTGCTTTGAAAGCTTTAAAGCTTTACTGTTACCTTCTTTAAAAAATTGTTTTTAAAGATTTTTAATTTATTTACTTGAGAAAGAGGGAGAATGTGAGAGAGAGAGAGCATGAAGGTGGGGAGGCACACACAGAGAGGGAGAAGCAGACTCCCTGCTAAGCGGGAGCCCGACAATGTGGGGCTCAATCCAGGGATCATGACTTGAGCCAAAGGCAGACCCTTAATCAACAGAGCCACCCAGGGGCCCCTGCTTTTACCTTTTACATCTTTAAGCCACCTGGAATTTATTTGTGTGTATGCTGTGAAACAGGGATCTAATGGATAGCCACTTTATTGAAGTGTATGTGTGCACCACATATTTATTGAAGAATGTATAAGCCATGGTTCTAGTAGTGTGTGGGTTTGTTTTGGAGTCTCTATTCCGTTGCACTGGTTTGTTTATCCCAAAGCCACACTCCCTTAACCCAAAGTCTCACTGTCTAATAGGATGAGCCCCTCCATTTTGTTCTTCTTCAAAATGATCTTGGCTCTTGGTCCTAGCTCCTCTGTCGGCCTTGTGGCCTATTACCACATTCCACACATCCCAGTTCTATGAAGCATCCTGAACTTTCCCATCTCCGGGTGTTTGTACCAAGGCTCTCCCTTTGCTTGGAATGTTCTTCTGTCTTTTGTGTGATGTCTCCCACTCATCCGTCAGGACTCAGCTGAGATTATCAGTTCTTTTGAGAAGGCTGTGCTTGGAGCCCATTCTGTGCCCCCAGCTCCTCTATTTTGGCATTTATCACATTGCATTTGTCTTGCCTGTTCCTTGAACTGGCTACATAATTTGCTGCACCCGGTACAAAATCAAAACATGTGAGGCCCTTTGTTCAAAAATGGTTAAGAATTTCCAGACAGGGACAGAGGACTATTAAACCAAACACATGGTGCTTCCAAGCATGAGGCCCCACGTGACTGTGCAGGTTGCATGCCCTTGAATCTGGCTCTGCCCCTTCCCTTATTTGTCTCCTGCTGGGCTGTGAGCTCAAAGAGCAGGGCGCACGCCTATCCTCTATAGTGTACGTGCGATTCCTGGCACACAGTGGGTGCCCAATACTTGTCGAATGAGCACATGGACATACACTGCAGGTGCTCAGTTACATGGAATGGCTGATCCCTGACTTCAGGTTGTCACTTCTGCTACTGTATTAGAGACTCCTGGGGTGGTGGATTGAGGAAAATAATTCTTTTGAGAGGTCGGACTCTGGGCTCCAAGGAAAGCTTCTAGATCTGGCCTCCTGGCTCAGGGCAGGGGGGATAGCCCTAGGTAAGCCACATCCCCCAGCCTCTCTTGCAGGGACCCAGCACCCACTGCCAGACCTGACCTCAGTGCCCTGTAAACAGTTATCACCACAAACACACATGGGCTTTGCCGTGGGCAGGATGCAGTTCAGAGGGCAGGCCTGGAGCCAGCAGTTAGGGTGGCAAGAGACCTAGTTCTTTTTTTTGAAAACTCAGGGTGTGTTTTTTTGAGAAGGCTGTGTTTGGAGCCCATTCTGTGCCCCCACCTCCTCTATATGTGTGTGTGTGGGTGTGTCTGCAAGAGTCCACAGTCCAGGTTGGAGGTTGTCCCAGCCCCAGGAGCTTGTGGAATTATGATGGGGGCAGGGCAAATTTGTCTGAAAGTGACATCTGTGTCTACTGTTAACATTGGCTTATTTGTGATTGTGCCCCCACTTCTGAGGTCCTGGCCTGGCAGCCAGGGGCTGGCTGCAGCACGTAGGCTCTGGAGTACCTGAACCTAAGTATCACGGCCACCTCTTCCTGCCAGGAGGACTCCGTCTCTCCCAGTCTTCATCCTTTTATCTGTACAAAGGGATCATGATGTCTTTTTCTTGCCCTCTCTCTCTCTCTTTTTAAAAGATATATTTATTTATTTGAGAGAGAATAGAGACAGAGAGAGGGAGAAAGAAGGAGTGGGACTAGGGACAGAAGGAGAAGCAGGCTCCCCACTGAGCAGGGGGCCCTCAGGACCCTGGGATCATGACCTGAGCTGAAGGCAGATGCCTAACCAACTGAGCCACCCAAGTGCCCCTCTTACCCTCTCTTTTGAGAGGATTTTATTTTTATTTATTATTA